TTGACGCCAGATGGGATTAATGTTATGTCTCTGTTCACAGCTTGACCCTAGCTCCGCCCCTCCACGTTCTGACCTATCACAGTGAACTTTTTTCTCCCCCCTTTTTTCGCCGCTGCTTATTTAAACTCTCACTCAGTTTCCTTCTGCCACACTTCTATTGCTGCCCACAGATACTACTTACCAGCTAAGTGCTATTTCTAATTTTTATAACGTTTTTTCTGTTGTTTTGTTCGCTGACGAAGGCTTTCTGCCGACACGTTCGCTGTTTTGTTGCGTTTAATTTTTCAGGTTTAACCATACTCTGTTTTACTCATTTTATTAAGCTTAAACAGTAGTGTTAATTGTAATTAATAGGATTGTGGGAGGGGTATGAATTATTATTTGGTCATTAATTCTATTTTAAGCGGCATTAAGTCACTGGTTACCGACTCTTACTTTTTTTTTATTTCTTAGAATTTAAAATACGGCCTAGGCTATTCATTTTTTTTCCACTTGAAAAAAAAAAAATCTTAATTAAGCGAAATTTGGGTAACAAAGAAAGCGCGTTGTTTTATTTTCGCATAAAGAAACGTGCGTCTCAACAAACATCGTTTTTAGAACAAACATAACCAAATGTTTTTACCTTTTCAGCAAATAACTAAGCATGTTTTGATTTAGGGTATCGTAAATTGAGATGCGAAACTAAACAATCACAGCACTAAACGTTAGCGGAAATGTTTTAGAATTATGGGATAGACTGACAATGTTGTAGTAAAAAGTGAAAGAAAAGGCTAGCCTTCACTTGAAGTTAGACCCCGTTCGCGTTTTGTTATCCGTTGTCGAAATTATATTTATATCGCGAAAATAAAATGAATCAAGGGACTATAAGTCCCGAAGAATGATTGGTCCTGGTTAAAGAAAGAAAGGGCGGAGAAAGAATGGAACACGACCGGAGACATCCGATGGCGATGAGTGAGTCCTTTTGTTTCTTGTTTGTTATATTTTATTTTTTTATTATTTTTTTTTTTTAAATCAATATTCTGGATCCGTTTGTATTTATTTGATTTATTTAGAAATGATAATTTAAAGTTCAACAAAAAGTTATAATGAATTCTGAAAAGCATTGATATGGAACTGCCATTGATTTATTTTGCTGGCTGAGCAGTTCAGTGAGTGTGTCAAGTGCGTGAGACATCACTCATTACTGGAATCAGATGTTAAGGTCTATGACTCCAGGCCAGTCCACCACTGTTCTGTACAGAACTAGGTCCTATGTAGACGAGGCCAACTTTATTAGTAGCTTGAATGTTTGTTTTAGTACTTCAGCAGCATTGTTACTCCACTACTACTACTAGAATCTTCACTTCATGCAAAGTTACAATCTAAAAGTATCAGTAGGTCCTCACATTTTTAGTTCACTGTACCATGGAAACCATGAAAAAAGAAAGTGAAACAAGGTTTGGGAAAACTTGGAAAAAAGCATGTTAGAAATTTTAAAAAAATACTTTGACAAGAAGCATTCTCATTCTTCAATGAACAAATACCACAAATCTAAAAATTAAAATAAACTAAACACTTTTTATGTAACAGGAATGTTATAGAAAATGAGAAGGTAAGGGACTTAATATAGGCAATAGGGCAGGGGAAGGAAGAGAGGAAAAGTAATTCCAGAGGAATTGATTGTAAAAAGGAGAGGGCAGAGTAAAGATTTAACAAGTAATGGAGAACATGATTTCATGCCAAGTTCATCCTGGTGGGCGTATTGGTACAGGAAACAATGGCAGTGATGGCCAAGTTGCTAGAGCTTTTGTGGTCACTTCTATTGAGGTGTTTTGAGATAGTAAACTGTTTATCTTTCGCAAAATTTTGAAGGCGTTCAGTAAATCTGTCCAAGAGATTCAGTCCAGTCTTATCTGCTGAAAACTACCATAAGGGAATGTGTTGAGTCTGGATGACAAAATGGCAAGTTTTGCAATGGCTGTGTCCATATGGCCTGGTTCCTAAGTGGAAGGGGGTAGCACAGGGGTGGGTGTGAGCAAGATCTTGCAGATTTTTATCTCTTGGGAACACATTGAGAGGCAGGGTTGAGAAAATGTTATAGGTGTCATAATGCTCTTTTTGGCTTTGATTAGATAAAAAAGAAGCTTTGGTTGAGACCTGATTTAGGTGACGATATGCTCGGGTTGAAAACTGATTAGTTGACGATAAGCTCTATTTGGAGCCTGATTAGGTGAAAAAAGCTCAGATTGAAACCTGATTCGGTGACAAAATGCTCTGTTTGGAACATGATTAGAATTAGGTGAAAAAGGGCTCTGGTTAGAACCTGATAAGGTGACAAAATGATTTGGGGGTAATCTGATTAGATGACAAAATGATTTGTTTGTAACCTGATTAGGTGAAAAAAATCTTTGTTTGCAACCTGATTAGGTGGGGCAAAAAGCTCTGGTTGAAACACACTAGATGACAAAATGCTCTGTTTGAAACCTGATTAGTTGAACAATGTCAAAATGATTTGGTAGCAACCTCATTAGGTGACAAAATGCTCTGGTGGATTTGTTTGCCTTCTCTTAGATGAGTTGCCATCCTAGATTGAGTCCCAACTACCTGGGGTGCAGGTGTTGTTTTTGCTTGTCTATTTGTCTAGCCTTGGATTGACTTAGTTTAAACCACTTGACATAGAGCACAAAACAATACATATCCAAACATTTTTTAAAATTTCGCCACTTAGGATGGATTCTTAAAACCAGAGAAAAAGAAATCATCAAATCCTAGATAAATGAAAAATTTGTATTAATACAGTATAATAGAAACATTTATTAAACTGTTATTTTTCTCTCCCTATTTGCTATTTTATTTCAAAACTTTAAAAACTCCTGATCATCTATACGATTTTGATAAATATGGTCATTTTATTGCAAGTTTGAAAGACAATATGATATACTAGAGTGATTGACACCACCATAAGCAAATTTTTAAAATCACTTTTTAATGTTTCAAAATAAATTAAATCCAGAAGGCTACTTTATTTTATTTTTTGGGCAGTTTTTGTTTCCCTATTTAATCTGTTTAGTTTCATTTATTAGTGTTAATTGATATGACATTCAGTAAAATAAGTTTTCATAATGTCTTTACACTCATTAAGGTGTGTGCTGTTTGCATGAAGAAGTATATATTTTATGTTTTACAGATATGAATGGAATGGCCCGCCCCAATCCTCACCCACTCCCTGCTTCCAGTTCAAGTCTTCCTCCAGACTTTGACAAAAAGAGGAGAAACTATAGGCTGTTAGCTGATCCTATGATTGACAGTAGCAAAGACAAGCTGTATCGATTTGATGGAGTCAATCCTAATGTATGGCATTTTTATAGGAATTTATTGTTCACTAAAAATTTTACGCTGTCAAATTAATTTTGGTATACATTGTGAGAGGACGAAACAATACTTAACTAAACATTTATTTTATTTAACACCTTAGGATGGATTCTTAAAATTATATCTAAGGATGGTAAAAAAGTAAGTATAAAAAAAATACAAGTAATTGGCTATTATGATTGGAATTTATTATAAAATGTAATCAGTGTTTGCGACATGAACACTAACATAAAATTTTTAATTTGTTAAGGATGGTCGACCAATAGACACTAGAGATCCAAGGCCCAGGTACCAACGAATCTGTTACAGACGACAGCCAGCTGATTTGCCTGTGCCTAGATGGAAAGTAGGTCATTTAAAATTTATTTTTTTATAATGCATGGAAGAAGAAAAAGTTACAATATGTATTTAATGTTAAAACCACAAACAAATATTTCCACACCAGTCATTATAGTACATTTTTAAGTTTCAACTCTTTGACACCAAAAGCTAATTTTAGCTCATTGTTTTAGCTGGGATACCAGGAATGATTGCAAAAAGAATTATCTTTAATTCATGTCACTATTTACTCATTGTGGTATACATACATATATAAGTTTCCTGAAGGCATTTCAAATTTCTTAAAGAATTATCTACACCTTAGTTGAAATTTCTTTTGCCTAATGTCTTGAGGCTTTTTATTTTTTTTTAAACCTTAACTAATTTTTTTTGCTGAATTTGTCTAGTATGACCAGTACTATGTTGGAACACCACCCGCCAAAGAGGTGACATTCAGCAATCTCAATGACAATATCAACAGAGATTTTCTAGAGAACATGGTCAAAGGGTTTGGCAGAATTGAAGACATCAAGATATACTACCATCCCAGAAACAGGAAACACATGGGCATTGGAAAAGTGAGAACTGATAAATGTGCTTGCACTGTTATAAAAATAAAGTCAAGTTTAAATTTAATTGAACAACCCCTAAAGACAAAGAAAGTTTTTTTGTATAAATCCTTATCAAGCATTTTTTTATTAAATTATTCCATTAACATTCTAATATCCCACCCGCTTTTTCATATTCGCTTGAAAAACAGGAAAAACTGATTTTTAAGGGATTGAGTTGGGTTGAAATTTGATAGTATTTGTTGTCATCAGTAATGGGTCTATGGGCTAAGTTTCAGCTCAATAAGTTGAAGGGAAGTGGGTCAAGTAACCATCCAAAGATTTTGCCACACACCCAAAGAGAAAGAAGGAAACACGAACAAAAACTATGTTAATATAAAGGATTTTAAAAATTATGGCAGAAAGAAGACAGTGTATGAACAATTAATGTATAGAATTCTTTAAACTAACTGAACTTCGAATGTATCCTTAATATTTTTGTAGTTATATATTTCATTTAAAATTTGATTTACTTGCATTAGTATACATGTAAACTCCTTGTTACAGGTGGTTTTTGCTCAGTCTAAATGTGCCAGGGCATGTGTGGAAAAACTTCATCGGACATCTAAAATGGGGAACATTATGAATGTCTTGTTGGACACCTTGGGTAAGTATATGCTGATCCAAACTTTTTATCTTTTAAAAATTAAGTTAAGGTTGGTTTGGATTATTAGACTTCATTGTTCAATTACATACCCATTGCTCACTAAAGCTTAACTTATCACACCTTGTTGAATAGAAATTAAAACTGAGATCTGTTTAAAAGTTACTATTAAGTTAAAAATAATGTATTTCCAGGTAAAGAGCGACAAAGATTGATTGATCAGAAACTGACAGACAGACCAAGAATTGAACTAGATGCAGCAAATTTAGCCTCTCAAATGTCAAGGACAAGTAGTGTTGACACATTAGAAAGGTTTGATTACATTGAACCAGAGAGCGATAAAAAGTCATCTTTCTTAAAGAAACGCCAACGGGATCAGGACTCACAGCAGGGTGATAGTATAGGAACAGCACCATCTGATAATGCCAGTACATCCTCTCATTCTTCAGACCTTACCTTCAATGCAGGAACACCATTCAGTCAAAATAGTTTCACACCGGGCCCTCCTGTTTTTGATCCACATCACCCACTGTATATGCCACCTGGTGAACCTCATCCACCATTTGGTCCTGATTTTGGATTCAATCCTTCTGTTCCCATGCCCCCGTTCCACAATCAGGGTTTGCCGCCACATCCTCAAACCCCCAGCCATCATGGCCCGCCACCTATGACTCCACATCATCCACTGTTTAATGACAATTATGGCCCACCTGTTCCTCATGGGCCTGGACATATGCCATTTGATATGCAGCCACCATTTCACCATGAGATTCCAAATAGCATGCACGGTCCTGGTCCACCTCCGCCAGTATTTAATCATCCATGCATGGATAATAGAATGGATGAGAGGGACTGGCGTAGAGGTGGTCGGCCCGGTATGGACACACCGTCATCTTCATTGTCAACTCCAATGTCTGCCCCGAGTCCAGTTCCCATGAACAATTTCCCCCCAAGAGGCAGAGATCCCAGATCAGAAAAGCCTCCACCATTGGAAGCACCAAGAGAGATTCCAACAGAAAAGCCAGTGGCTCTCCCAGACACCCCTGATGCAGATAATGATGAGGAGCCTCGATTCATGAGTTTAGAGTCCAGAATTCAAAGTCTTCTTCAAGGTGGAGCTGAAGCTGAAGATAAGGATGATGGTAAATCTGGGATTGATCATCATGCTGAAACTGTTATTCCTCCACCTGCACAAATGGCAGCTTCAAAGTCCCACATCCCACCGCACTCTCAAGAAATGATACCATGGGACCCAAATGGTTTACATATGCATCCACCACCACCAGGGCATATGCCATCTCATCATCACTTGCCTCCACACCATCCCTCGCTCATGCAGCCTCTACCACCAGGTGTCCCACCAGGCCATATGGGACCCCGCCCACACATGGACTTATGGCCAGGCAATGGTAACCCCGCTCATCCAAATATGCCTTGGCCTCCATCTGCCATGGATGGACCACTTGCTCAGCAGCCATTTGAACCTCCAAGATCTCAGCATATTAAAGAAGGGCCTGGTAAGGGCAGGGGAAAAGGTAAAAAGAAAAATAAGAACAAAGGCGGGGGCAAATTCGGTAGACAAAATCCTTCATTTCTGCCACCAGAGGTGGTCCCCCGCCTACCCGTTTGTGACAATAACAATAAACGTGATAATAGACGAGAAAAACTTACAGGTGACACATCACCCCATTCTCTCATGGAACTTGACTTTAAGTCTCCATTTTCAGAGGAGGCACATCACCCGTCCACCAATGGTCAGATGAATAGCATAGACATGGAGGATGATAGAATGAGTTTAGATTCTGTCAGTAGTGGGGATGAAAGACTGGAGGTGAACCCTTCGAGTGGATCACAACAGCCTTTCAATGGCGACTGGCGCAATCACCAGCACGGATTCGATAACTTTGGAGTGTTCAGTCCAGACTATGATCCAGATGCGGATTATGTGACTCACATGTTTTCCACCGTGCTGAATGAGTTTGTGAAAGAGCTTAAGAGCATTATGCAGAGGGACTTGTGCAAAAAAATGGTGGAGACTTCTGCTTTTAAATACTTTGAGACGTGGTGGGATCAAGAAGAAGAAAAACATAAGGTGATCATCTGTGCTATTGTTTTTTTGATTTTTAGTACATGTACATATGGAAATCAAGTTAGAACGCTTTGTCCATTCCTGCAAAGTTCAATTATATTAAAAGGAACACATGAAAACATTAGTATAGTTTATTCTTCTAAATTCTTTTCTAGCTCTAAAAGGAAAAGGTGTGTTTTTAAGCTAACCTGACAGTCAACCGACAAAATCAGTCACAAAATCTACCATTGGTTGCTATATTCTGTTACCATAATAACTGGATGGTTAATCTAAATAGAAAATATTGGTGTTATTTTTCATTTACTTGAATTCCTTACAAGGGTGAGGCAAACAATGTGCCTCAAGTTGACAATGGGAAAGGGCACAAAATTGATTAAAAATACTTATTATAAATTAAAGAAAAGGTAATAGGGGGACAGATTTATGCTACTGCCTCTTGTGAAAATAACGCTAGCCACAGAAACTTGAATACATCTTAAATATCTGTTTAAAACAAGCTTATTGTTAGTTTTAATTGTAAACAAGAGAAAATAAAATAAATTATTTTGCATTCTTTGTAGACTGTAGCCAACTTTGTAACTTGTTCTTTTGAATGTGATTTTTAATTTGGGTTAATGTATGTGTCAATAAACTCAAGAGGTACATTTATTTTTATTGAAAAAAAGATAGTACTAAAGGATTTTTAAAATGATGTCAAACTATTGGTTTATTCGAGTTCTTACAAAGTTTGACGTAGTTAACCCTATAACTGTCAAGTGCATTTGTCTGTTAGTGTCAAGCCATTTTTAGCATTTTCATATACTTCTCAAAAATGATAAATGAATTCAGAGACCTTCACAAGTATACATTTTCTGAAAGTATATCTGACAAGGTATTATTTGGTATAAAAATAATTTGTTTTATATTATGTATGTTGATTTTGACCTTTACAGAGTGAGTAAAAATTTTTTACTCAAATTCTTAATTCAACTTACCCTAAATACTCCATAAATTGTTCAAATTATAGTAAAATCAAGTTTATTAGATACTAGAAGCAATATTCTTTCTTAAGAAAATTGTAAGTTCGAGGTATTTATGTTGAAAATTGTAATATAGGTGGAATTTTTTTCATCATACCTTCAAATTTCTGTCATGCCAAATACAATGGGGAAGGCACCAAATGAGTTGAAAAATTCCTTTTTAAATTAAGTTATTAAATCCTATTTTATTACGTGGACAATTTCTGAAATCATTGCTTTCAGTTTAATCCATCTGAAATAATTCCAATAAAGAAAGTCTGTGTTGATTTTGCGATCTAGAAGGGGACCCTCTCCAGCATCAGACATGGCAGTAAAAAGAAATTGAGCAAATGTCACACTCTATTAATCACCCAAAAAATCTGTTATAAAAGCATGCACACAGAAAGAAAGTAAATCGGGAGCAAACCCATTTTATAGAATGACTTCCCCTTAACCAATTAACATTAAATCATTCACAATGCTAATGACGACTTTGGCTAGCAGCCGCTTACATCAGTGTGACACTACAGAAAGGGGTTTAATGGCTGAAGATCGGTTGTCATGACAGTTATAGGGTAGCTCATTTTGATTTTCAGTCTTGAAATACAGCAAAAATTTATATTTTTTCTACTGGTATAATATGGAATCTTAAATCTAAATTTTAAAAAAATGGTAGCTGTGGAAAAACTAAATTATTGAGCTTTTAAAAGTAACAGTGAGGTGAATGTCCCAAGAAGTATATGCACTCTTAATAATTATAAATCAGTGGAGGAAGGGTTGTAGATTGCTTTCTATCTAGTGAGGGACATCTTTTGAGTTCACTAACCCATTTTTTAAAACAGAATTAGCTGCCACTGTTATGTGCTATACAAGCCATGGGGAAATTATAAGGATTTCTTTTTTGTTGACTGAAAGTTTTCATTTCTCCACTTTTTGAATATCACTGTTCACCAACATGCAGTGGTTAAAAACTGCGATGTGAAGCATAGTATTATAAGTTAAAATTCATCTAAATGTTATATAAAAGTACTTGGAAAATTGTTACATTGTATTAAATATGGTATGACTCTTCTGAGATCAACTAAGAAAAGCATCACTTCAGTATTTCACCATTTTACATGCTGAACTCATTTTAACCCCCTAAATGAGTTAAACCAAAGTCAATGCCGAGCTCAAAGACATCTCATGTCTTAAAAACTTTTGCTCAGTTAAAATAATTTTAAATACCGGGTAACTGCCTTTTATGTCTACTGCATTATTTTGGAGGAAAAAATCGGCTGATTATTTAACCCTTTATTAAAAACTAAATGGGGCCAATACTTTTAGTAATAAACAGACAACTGTCTCCATGTCACAAGCCTTGTGCTACCAAGACAAGGGCCAGCATTTTTTTCGTATGAATTTGTATTTAAAGAAGAAATATGTATGTTACAGCTTTTGAAATTTAACACACCTTGTTCCCAGCTTCTAGTTTGTTGCTGTTATAGGAGGGCCTGCTAAGAGGGTTTTTTTCATATTGTTCATTATTCTGTATTTCAATTTTAAGGTACCTGTAAAACTACCAAATGCTGAGGAGAAAAAAGAGAAACCGGCTCCGACTGCCCCAGCTGCTGCTCCAGCGTTAACATCAGCACTGGCTGGACTATTTGAAGCCAGGCACCCATGGGCTAAGGAAGGTGGTTTGGAGTCTGGTCTTGGCTTCAACCGGTACAGTTCTGGAGGATTGCTGGGCATTCGCTCTGGATTTTCAAAGCTACCATCATTTAAGGTAACTGGGCTAAAATGTTGTTTAGTTAATACCATTCTACTTTTTGTTATCAATAGGGTTAAAAAGAGAAGAATTTTCATTGTAGGTCCATGTAAGCTTCAGTTAATAATAATTAACATTAATGATGTGATATAGAAGTACGTTACATTTCCAGTAACATGATGCCAGTTTACCAGATTCATTTTTTAAAAATCTGTTTTTTATCATAATGAATACTTTGTCTTCAGTTCTTTTATATGCATGACATCTTTCCTGAAATCTTATCTGTTAAGTTTCAGTGGCTAACAAATTTTTTAAAAATTCATTGTAAAGATGTTTCTTAAAATTAGGGCTTCACATTATATGCCCATAAAAGCAAATTTTCATTTAACAATGTACTAAATCTACACAACCTACTCAAATTCAACGGCCTAGCGTGCATAGTATCTGTGGATGAAGCTGGTTATGTAATTATCACCCCTTGACAGAATATTAACATATTTTGTTGATTTAAATTGTATTATTGATAATGGTATAGGAAAAAAAATTGAAGTTTGCATTATGCATGGATAATGCTTTTAATGTTTTGTTTTCAAACAAGATTATTATGAACATTTTTTGAGATTGCTTCTGTTAATTTTTGTGATTAGAAAAAGGCCCCCGAACCAGCCCCAGCAGAGGAAGAAGATGAAGAGCCTCAAGATAAATCCAATGACAGGAAAGAAAACCATGAAAAGGCATCCATGTCAGACGATGATGAAGATGATGAGGATGACTATTCAGATCTTGGAGAGACTTCCAAAGCTTTGGGAAAGAAACTTCAAAGAAAGATTTATAGTTCTGATGAGGATTCTGAAGAGAACAAAGCTGGTTTGCATAGTTTTTTTTATTTGTTATTTATTTCTTATGGAATTACATTGATTACTTAGCTTCTGTGCTGCCCACAATGCAACATTTTTTTTTATTAGGAATAATTATTAAAGATGCTTGATCTCGACCATTGTTGCCTTTGATCATAAAAATTGTAAAACCTTTTCACGCTCAAAGTTTCTTAGTCCTGCAATCACTTGGTTATCTTGACCATTCTTATCCATTGGGCATTTGGCCATGTCTGATATTTTCCAGAGGCCATTATGAAAAATGTTCATGTTTTTTTCAGTTAATATAGGTTGTTCTTTAATTAAAAAATTGCAGGCACTATTAAAATATTAACTGAACATTTTATATGATAAAGATATATGCCAGAATAATCATTTTCCAAATAAGTTAGGGGGAAAAAACTTAATTATTTGAAAAAAAAGGGGAAAAAATATTCTTTTAATTTACAATTTAATTTTTTAAAATTGTGTTTAAAAAATATTTATTTCTCAAAATATTTTTAGATGCTGATGAAGAAAAGGAAGAAAGTGAAGATGAAGAAGAAGAAGATAGTGCCATTGAGAGTAGTGAAGAAGAAAGTGAAGAAGAAGAGGGTGAAGAAAGTGATGCTTCAGATGATGAAATGTCCTCAGAGGAAGAGGATGTAAAGAAAGCAAAGAGGAAGACCAAGGTTGAAGAAGACAAAGATCTCTCCTCACTGTCTTCTTTGTCATCTGATGAGGAAGAAGAAGAGGAGGAAGAAACAGAAGTAAAACCATTACCAAAGAAAGCATCACTTGATGAAGAAGAAGAGTAAGTAATATTTTATTTATTTGCATGCAAAGAATCTCAGCTGGTGCTCGACGTATGTTAAAAACTGTAGATTGTAAGTTTGAAATATTATGTGAACGTTTTTCATTGCAATTAAATTATATCTTTCCTTTTTAAAAATGTTTTAATTAAAAAACTATCTTATTTCATAATCCACTATTTTGATTGTTTGTATGAAAAGCTTGTTCTGAATCACTATATTGTTTTATCACAGGGATGAAGAGTCTGGTGAGATCAAATCTGAAGATGAATGTGAGGATAAGGAGTGAGTATTTTCTATTTACAATCATTGCATTTGAAATTTAATCTTACGACTGGCAAATAATTTTACTATTAGACTATTTTTCCTAAAAGAAATGACATTGATTTTTTTTTTTGTATACAAGTTCTTCTATTTTGGATATCTTGGGCAATTCAACAAGTTTTATTCCAAGTGTTTAAAACTGCTATTTTACATTTTTATTTTAAAATGAGGTTCAATCTTGAAATTTAAAAAAAAATAATTTCTTAGAGCATATGTTAATACATAATGTATTTTTTAAGGTGACCTTAAGCTTTTCATTTTGCATCTGCACTTTGGCATTGTAAATTTCTTGCTTTAGAGTGATAGATATTGCTATAAACTTGTTAACTTCAATAAGATGAGGGTGATATTTATTCCTAGCAACTTTTTGTGCATATTCAGATATTCCAGTGAAGATGCAAAGACAAAGTCTCCAGCCCGAAGTCTTACACCTATCGAGGAAGAAAATAAGAAAAAAGAAGCAGAAAGTTCATCATCATCCTCCGAAGAAGAAGAAAAGGATGAAAGCGATATCAAAATTGAAGAGAACATTAAAGAAGAAAAACCACGTTTTGAGGAACCAAAACGACCCCCTCCCATGCGAGGAAGAGGGGGCAGACGGGGACGTGGAGGTCGACGGGGGCGAAGGAGAAGCAGTGAATCAGATGAGGATCGTCTTACATTCCTTAAGGCTGACATGAAAGAGGAGAGGGAAGAAGATGGAATTCCCGATTCCACAGACACTGAGGCAGCTGAAATGTTGATGGCCCTTGCTGGTCACAAACCTGCAAAATCTAACTCGGAAGCTGAAGACTCTCATGAAATTACATCTGAAGAAGAGGATCGGAGGAAATTCTTTAACTCTGCCATTGCTGAACATGACTACTTCTCCACAAAGCCTCTGGGGGTTGAAGACAACCATGATTCTGATTCCACAGATTCGGCTGATGATGATGCTATTAGAATCACCCAGGAAATCTGGATAGATCACAACTACTGCCTGCCTTCTGCTCATATGAATGTGAGAGAACCAGAAACTTCAAAACACCATCGTGCTAGTGAGAGAGACAGAAGGGAAATGGAAGCTAAAATTGATGCTACAATTGATGAAGTAATTTCATTGGCACATAAGAAATCTGAGCCTAAAAGGAAATCCCCTGTTGCTGCTGATGGCAGGAAAGCTAAAGCTAATAAAAAATTTAATGATCTTACAAATAAACCAAAAGTCAGCCGGGAACTGGCGAATATATTAATGGACGTGGAACCTAAACCTCGGGTGACCTTCACACCAAGATCAATACACGAAGAGAGACAGGTATTTTTTGACATCTATCACCATGGCATGGATGATGAAGATATTCTTTATCTTAAAAAAACATATGACTCATTGATGCAGTCAGATGATCCCATGTTTTATTGGCTTAATGATATCTTGTGGGTTGATCATCCCCACACAAGGATACCTGATCCGCCTAGAAAGAAGAGACGAGTGGAAGAATCTGTTCGTGTTCACAAATCAGGTGAGGGTTACACATTATTTGTGTGATTATATATAGACTCTAATTGTTTAAATAACAGTTTATTAAATTGTGTCTTTTTTTGGATTAAGTTTAATAAGTTTTAACTTTTAATACACAAAAATTTGAGATAATAAGAAAGGTATTCCGTTGAGACCCAGTAGTTGAAATCCAATAATCTAATTATGTTGAATAATTTTAGTTTTTGCCCATTTGGGTTTTTGCCTGCGGCCACTCTGACATATATTCCAGTGCATAACAAAAGTCAACAGAAAATGGTAATTGCCTTCAAAACGAATGAAGAAGACAGGATTTTGATGTCACTTAAAAAAGAAATGAAAGCTGAATTAAAATATTTAACATGTACCACATAATGTAAAGTCACATTTTATAATGTTTAAGAAAATTTCCCATATCCCTATAAAACAGTACCAATTTACTCCCATCTGCATAATTCCTAATCATTTGTCTGAAAGTAGAAGTTTTACATTAACGTGTAAGTAACATGAAACCAAAAGTTTGTATTTTGTTCATGAAACAAAAGAAGACTTAATTTGGCAAAGCTATATCTTAGAATGAGCTTGTTTTGAAAGCAGATGTATTGGCAGACAGTTGATAAAGTGTTAAAAATACACATTATGGGACGGATGAATATAACCTTTAAAAGCACTAAGTGAATCGTGTATGATGGATCATTGCCATTCTTTCAATATAAAACTGATTTATCTTCCCAAATGTCAGGCTCTGCCCGGACTGAAGGACATTACAAGATAACTCTTGATGAAAAGATGAAATATTTAAGCAATGCCAAAAATTTAACTGTTCACCAACAGATAGCTGCTGAGGATGAAAAGCAAATGGTAAACTAACTAGATTTAGCCTTTATAAATGGAGATTATTAAAGTGGTCAAGTTGATCATTAATGTGGTTAAGAATTGATGTAGTTTTACCTTTTCCGATATTACAGCATATCAAAATACATTTACATCGAGGTGTGATTTTTAATCTGCTCCAGGGGATTAAAGTATTTTTCTCTCCTTTATAGGAGGATGTCAAAAAGAAGCAACAGACATCCCGAGAAGTTCGTAATGAGAACCGACGGTTGCAGGCAGCCATTGCACTATTCCAAGAAAATCTTGAAGTCAGTGACCTGCTCAAGTTCAATCAGCTTAAGGTAAAACAATTTTTAAATTTTTATACATAAAATTCTAAGTATAAGTTAAAATTAGCATTTCAATTCACATCCTTAAATATGGCAAACACTAACTGTAGTGATTAAAATTTGTAATGCCAACTTTATTAATTAAGACAACTATGGGACTGAGGCCAGATTTTTTAATCCTTACTGTATGAAAATGTAAAAATTACATTATTATATCAGCATCGTAGCAAAATGATTATACAAATTTTCACTCATTTTTCTCCCATCCTAATTCAATTTTTAGTTCCACAGTGGATTATGTTATTGTCTTAGCACTACAATTTTGCAAGGGTAAAATCACAAAATTGATCTAATGCCATATGTTCTTATGAACATTTTCAGTTCCGCAAGAAACAGCTAAAATTTGCAAAATCTGGAATCCATGACTGGGGCCTGTTTGCCATGGAACCAATAGCAGCAGATGAGATGGTGATTGAGTATGTGGGACAAGCTATCAGGCAGCCAATAGCTGATCTACGCGAGAAACATTATGAGCAGACCGGCATCGGCAGCTCCTATTTGTTCCGTGTAGATCACGAGTCCATCATTGATGCCACCAAGTGTGGAAACCTGGCCCGGTTCATAAATCACAGCTGCAATGTAAGTTGAGATCCTGAGAGAAAACCCCAAAAAAATCCAAGACCATGGGGGGCTTACATTTTCACCAAAATGTCACAAGAGTACAAGGACTAATTTAAATTTGTTGGGGTGTACAGTCTATCGCAAATGCCTATTATAATATTAAAAATAGACGCAGCAGCAAAATCAGCTATTTCCAACTTCCCCCCGAAAATTCAATGATAAACAATCTAATCAAACAAATTTTTACATTTTTTTTGTGTGTATTTTTTTGGATGTCTTTATCAAGACATCAGTGTTCATTTAAAATATTCTCATTTTACATTTCAATGTTTTCCCACATAACTTGTAACAGAACTGGAGTGTTAGTAAGTAAATCAAGATGCATTAGGTTGATTTAAAAAAAATATATTAAAAAATTGTTTGCTTTACTTTACATATTTGTATGCAATATTTTTTATATGCCATTAATAAATATAATTGACCAGTGGATAAACCTCAAGATATTTAATTCCAAGTTTCTTTACTTTCAGCCTAACTGCTATGCAAAGATCATCACTGTAGATGGACAGAAGAAAATAGTTATCTATTCCAAGAGGGACATTGATGTCAATGAAGAGATCACATACGATTACAAGTTTCCGTTTGAAGAGGACAAAATTACATGTCTCTGTGGTGCTCAAGGGTGCAGGGGTTATCTTAATTAATTTATTTTTAATAAGGACAGCCCACCACCTTCAAGACCTCTGGTTTACTATTCTGTTGCCATACTGCTGGTGCTGCTTACAGCAGGAGATTTGCCTGGAGCCAAAAAGCTGCTGTGGCAGTGACCCAAACTTGACCCTGATTAAGATATGTTAATTTTTTTTTTTTAAATAACTAAAAAAATTGAGAGAAAAATCAAGAGCATCTTTAACCCCATAGGATTTAAAATACTGGAAAAATTAATTGTTGGAATAAAATATTGAAATGCTTTTGATCAGGTATGATGTACCAACCATTGAATATACATAATTACTTTTTTGCAGCAGAATGAATTTTGTAAGATAATGAAAATTAGGTTGGCTCGTGTAAACTTACAAGCATATCAAAGAACATAGTTTCTGAGACCAAAATTTTGCACTTAAACAAATTTCATTGGGCTTTTCAAGTGGCCTTATCATGCTGACTGGCTAGGGAGAACTGGTCCAGAATTATTTTTTGCACATTACAATCCAAGATGACGATGAATAAAGAAGAAAATGGAATGCAAGTTTTTAAATCATTATCAAAGTGAAATGCCCCGAGTTAGATTGGTAAGACATGAAACTCAGAGGAATGAGTTCTCAATTTTAAAATGTTTTATTGACGCAACTAAATTGCTGAGCCGTCCCCCATTTTATGTTTCATATACTTGATTTTTTGGGGGGGGGGGGCATTGTAATTTCTCCATGTACAAAAAAAAAGCAAAATCTCAATAACTGATTTTTAAATCATTAAATGCCCCGAGTTAGATTGGTAAGACATGAAACTCAGAGGAATGAGTTCTCAATTTTAAAATGTTTTATTGGCGCAACTAAATTGCTGAGCCGTCCCCCATTTTATTTTTCATATACTTGATTTTTTGGGGGGGGGGGGCATTGTAATTTCTCCATGTACAAAAAAAAAGCAACATCTCAATAACTGATTGTTCAATCATCTACTCTGTCCATGCCTCTTTGTGTGTATAATCAAATCTAGGCTTACATTTTTTGTCTGACAAATCCGCGTTGTAGCCAATGAATCACTTTGCTCCAGCCTAGTCAATTCAATTGAAAATTTTTACTCAGGCGTGTCAGTAATATATAAATTAACTTTAATTAATGAGGGCTAATGAGTTAAGTTAAATATTAAAGTAATATAACAAATTAACTTTAAGTAATGAGGGCTGATGGGTTTAATAAACCATAGCCTGCTTTTTTTTCCTAAACATTAAAAGTTTACATTGCATTTTTTCAGTGTAAATGTTTGTTGAATTTGACCAAACATTTTAAACTAATTTCATATATTTTTATATAGTATGAAATAAACAAAAAATATAAGTTATATCATTGATATATCTTCAGGAGGGAATTAATTACTTTAAAAAATGGTCAAAATTATCCTAGAACATGACTCTCCTTTAAAAAATTATTGTTTTTTCCTGTGACTGCAACCAGTCAATAAGTGGACTGTATTTGTGTTGAAAAACATGACTGAGATCATGAAAATGTTACACCATAATTTTTATTCCCACTATTTAGATGTGCTCCTTCTATACATAGTGGTAACTTTTGGGAAGCTCAGATATTTATCACTGGAACAATTAGCCTTTGTTTTCTGCTGGTGAGGGAAGGTTTCCTTGACCATTAGCGATCCCATCTTTACTCACTAATCAACATCAACACAGCTGCTGGACATATTTTTCTACTAGTAGAAAAAAACAACAACAGTTATTTAATACAAAATATGCATCTAGGTGTAATCCAATTGTAGAAATTAATTCTTAAGCCCATGTACAACCCAGTGAGCCTGTTTTGAATAGCCCCTTGCTGTTGCTCTTAGTTCCTTGTGTGTTGTCCTCACTGACCCAAGTTTGTACTTCCATCTGATGATGAAATGGCAGTTTTTGATGACCTTGTGCAAACTTGTAGTTTGAGTCACCAAGTCCAAATAATGAATTCAAGTTTTCATTTATGAATACATTTTTTTTTACCCTCCTTTTGTAAACCTTTGCGAAACATGAATGTAATAAGGAGCTATTTTTTCAAGGAAGATATTCAGGGCATAATGGCAGTATTTCTGACTCAATATGAACATTTAATTTCTATTTGTTCTATTATTTAATCAAAGAGATATAATAAATGTTTAAGAGTTCAATACCTCAAAGCATACACCTGTTTGCTCAGACGACTATTTCAGTTCCTCCCTTGTTGTGGCCACTACTATATTTATTCAGCTTGTTTCTTGCTGTATTTCTTTGGCAGCTCCTCCTTAGCACAATAGTTTTCAGTATTGATAATTATAGGAAACTGAGCTCCCATGTAATCTCATTCACATGAGAAATGTCAGATTTTTGTTTTCCCTCATTTTATTTCTTGATCTACCAAGTCCCATTTTTGTTTGAGATTTTTAAAATTTTGAAATTTTAAACAATAAAAATATTACATCTTGTTTTTGTAAGTAGTAAAGAGCTTAGCCGTAGATATTTGTCAGCAACTTCGGTTTTTATTGAGACTGTGTTAATCTACAGATACATGTTGTTTTGTATACTTTTTTATTTTTTGTTATATTTTATGATCATTTAAAAAACTAGCGTATGTAATAATTATTATTATTTTTTTTTAGTTATTTAACTTATCTAATTTCAAAATAATGTTACTACTCCTTGTTCCCAATGTGATTGCTGTTTTTTAAGCAGTATTTTTTTTTTCTTACAATGCTCACTTGAAATGTATATTCTGATCTCTTCTCCTTAATTATTATTATTATTTGTAAAAATTGTTTTTTCAAACAAATGATGTGATTGATAATGGACCGATTCTGTGGGACATTATTTAGGAAAGTATCACTCTTAAAACATTTATCTCTGATTTCCTAGTTTCTTTTTTGAAAAAAGCTGAAAGTAACAAACAATATTCTTAAAATGGGAACAAATTATTTTGAACCTCCCTGCAAAAGGATTTCAAGAAAAAATTAATTCAAATTAGGTTGGTCAAATTTAATACAGAAAAGTGTAGATATTCATTTTGGGGTGCGGGCTGGTTAGTCCTTTTTGTTCTTCTTATCATTTAAACATTAAGACTTCTCTATGGTATTGTAAAGGCAAAAAAAAAAAGCAAATTGGTAAAAGTTCAGTTTCAGAAGTACCGTATTGTACGGACTATAAGACGCACTTTTTTCTTCTAAAAATTGTCTCCAAAATTCATGTGCGTCTTATACTCAAAATTAATATAAAAGTGGTAAAAATGTTATTTTTTAAACAAAATTGCTTAAAAATTAAGGTGTGTCCTATAGTCCGTAGCGTCTTATAGTCTGTAAAATATGGTATAGTATTTACATTTTACATTATTTTATGAAAGGTGTTTGAAATTCCCGTAATACTGTTCTTATAATGTGACTGTAGATCTCTAATGCAGTTTTGAATAATGCTGAACATGAGCTTTTACAGTGCACATTGGATTGTCTTTTTTAGTTCCATCTCTGACATGCCATTAGGAAATTGTATAACAAATATTTTCCTAAAATTTAATTAATGCCTGTAAACTGATTGTCATTGCCCATGAAAGGGGAATGGAACCATCATTTATTTTCCTGCTATTAAATATGCTCTTCAATGAATATTTATTATTATAAACCATTTGGTTTCAAGTTATGTACAAAAAGATTGCTGTTTCACAGCAATGTAAAGAGATGTTAATTTGGTAAAAGTATACAATCTTATGGTAATACTAATAGTCCAATGAAGCTATTAAAAATACATAACAGACAGCCATGTTAACAACTTTAAGGGAGGAAGCAAATTAAAGCCCTGATACTTAGAACACCATTATGAGCTCAAGTCTAGTATATATAAATATATACAGACTTGTAATAAAGGCGACTTTTTATGAACCTGCTGTTGACATTGTTGATTAATGTGGTTACTTCTATCAATTATTCTAGACCAGATTATTGTATGGTCCTTGCGTGTAAATAGATAGAGATACATTGACTGTTTTCATGCAATCCTACTTGTTCATCTTGTAAATGAAGTCATGATTCATTATCATTGTATAATACATAATGTAATGTAATTTTGTGCTACTGTAAATATTGTGTACAGATGTGAACTATTTCTATGAATGATTGTCTGATCATGTGGATAATAAATCTTGCTGGTAAAATTTTGTTTTCTGTCATTGTTTTCCTCTAATTAATATTTTCTTTTCTATTCTTGTTGAAAGTATTGCTTTGATTAATGTTTCACTTGTATGAATAAGTATAAGTAATGAAACACAGATAAGTTGGACAATAAGAGGCCGCCTCTCTAGCTGAAACAAGCAGCTTGATTTTAAAATGTTAAAAAATAGAGCTTTATTTTGTCTCCACATATAATATTGAAACATTCCAAGGCCAATGGGTTCTTAAACAAAATTTATTAGTGAATATTCATTAAAAATAAAGAATCCATTCAAAGCTTGAAAAAAGAAATGATGTCAAGACATTGGTAGACCTGTGAGAATTTAAAATCAATGTAACTCAATGTAAATTCGTGTATAATTCATTATTAAGATTAACCATTGCCATGGTGAGTAAAGTAGTGGAATCATCACTGAATCACTGACATTACTGTGTACTAGTACTGAGACAGAGAAATTTCTATAGTTAAATATAATATTAATATAGTAACAGGTAAACGGCTAAAGTAATAAATATTAGAAAGAAGGAATAAATAATATACATTCAAATAACAAAGTTCATAGACTGCAAATACTTTTATTTTAAATCACTTTATTTGATTACAATATACTATAATTACATTATAGATTTTATAAGACAAAAGAGTAAGATAATCATTTAAAAATGATTGGGATTTTGATCACGTGACTTACAAAACAAAATGGCTGCCTCCGCTATGCCGTGTGCAAGCAAAGCTTACACATTAAAGTTAAAGTTTCTTTATGCATTTTGTAATACAAGGGAAAAACTTATTCAAATGCCACTTTTTAGGATTAATCGTACATTAACTACATGTTCAAGATGTTACAGTCAGCGAAAAAAAAAGCAACCAATGATCGATCCTAGAAAAAATATTCAATATCCATACGTTCGTGGTGATCCCCTCCATGAAGATAAAATTAGAGAGATAAATAAAAAAAGTGACCCTTTAGGAAAATTATCAGAGAAAGCCAAGAAATCAGAGGAAAAAAAACTTAAACAAATCGAGGAATCAAAATCAGAACAGCAAATCTATGCGGAGTTAACTTACGAGAAGTTAAAGGAAGGAGATCCACGTTTGGGGTAAAATTCATTTTTATGCTATCTCTTCACATTTACTATTTATTTACCTTGGTGCCGGCCATCGCAGCAGGCACGTACCTCACCATCAGAGCAAAACGCTTACTGAACACTGACTTCACCACTGACAATCCCATAAACAATTACATCAGAAACAATGAAATAGTGAAACGAGGTATGTGGAAGCTTGAAAAAAGGTAACAGGACAAAAAACAAGGACGTTTCGGCATAAAGCCTTCATCAGCCAACAATAGAAAAGAAAATACATCAGAAACAATAGCAAATGCTTCAATGCAACACAGTGCCGAATAAACAATCTTTCTTCCCACGCACAATATTAGCATGGAACCACCTGGACAATGCCATTGTGAACTTGACATCGGTGGAAAGCTTAAAAAAGGCTGCCCTAGCATCAGCTAGGAGCTGTTAGACTAGCAACATCATTCCCCCAACCGTTGCACAGATGCCAGTATATGGATGCAGCAACAAATACTACCAGAACCAGAGAAGAACCTTATTATTTTTAGGCGCCTAATTTTGTTTATACTGTAACTTAACTTGTAACTGTACTGTAAACCAAATAATATTATTTATTTCACGAGGCCTAGAGTCAGTATTAGATATTAATCTACTAGTTTGCCTAAAAATTAAAATGAATCTATTTTAGTGAGTGTCATGACCTACAAGATGAGTAGAGTAAAGGCAAAGGAATCACAATCTTATTTTTATTATTATTAAATAACTTATACTATAACTATAGCCATAGCCTATAGAAGTGGTTCCTAAACGTTTAAGTTTGGCGGACCAGTGAACAAGTTTCAAAATTTTACCAGGGATCAGTGCATGATTTATTTTTATACTTTTATTTCTATTTGACCATAAATATTTATGTTATGGGAACCGGCAGCATTAGGCATGCGGACCGGTGAAGGTCCACGGACCGCCATTTTGGGACCACTGATCTATAGTATTAGTCTAAATAGCAATCTTTTTTCTTCAGATGACTTTAAAAAAAGTTAATTAATCCTATTAATAGTCCAATTATTTATTAAAGGCAAATAAAGCTTTGGACGTTGTAGGTAAAAAAAAATTAAAATGAAGTAAAGTGTCAAAGGTACATTCAGTTATTTATAATTGATTAATTCTTTTAATGAAAATTAATCAGGATAATAAAATTAACTACAACTGACTACACTAAAATGCGGGAGTCTAAGATAAAAAAATTTCTGAATATTGATATTGACAAAGTTGTTAGCAGGCACACAGCAGTAAATGAAAGGAATCTAACTGGAAAAAAATTGGATATCCAGAATATTGGGTGCTCATGAAGACTACTCTACAAAATTCTTATCTTTGAACCACATGAGTTAGAAAATTTTATCGTGATGTTTTTGTAACTCTTTCATTCAAACTTTAGTACAGTTTAGGGTCCATATGTTACAAGAGTTAGAGACATAATAAGCAGTCTCTTGACTCTTGATATATTATTAATTTAGTCAACATAACCGACGGGTGCTTGAGTTCAAGGCAAAAGTCAAAGAGCAGTCTGTGGGTTGTTAGTTTGAGAGTAGTCTTTTTGGTTTCTTGTTTATGACTAGTCTGTCATTTCTTTGTTTGGGAGCTGTTTACAGGTTCAGGTTTATTTCACAGATCGCACAGAGCACTTTCATCATTATGTTGCCTTTTAAATTTAAAAAATAACTTTTGAACACAGATACTTAATTTTAATTTTTAAGCATACTTTCCATTGATTCAAAAGTAGATTCAAAGTGAAACAGAAGCATGCATTTTGTAATACTTTTATCAGAATAAGAACTACTCTTAACAATCTCTCAAAATTTGTGTTGGGACTTGAGTTATGCTTGAAGTATTTAATGCATCCAAGTTAACGTACTTTTTAATTATTCATGAGAAAAGGTGTTTTTTTTTTTGCACCCCCCAGACAAGCTATTATTGAGGCCAAATCCAGCAAAGCAGGGAGCACCTCCACAAATATTATATTGGAAGGCCAGAGATTGATCAAAGATGCCCTGTTGCTTGGTGCAACACCAAGGTGCTTGTATTTCTGTGAAACTCAAATACTAGATGACCTTCCAGCACATCACCTCAAAGGTGTTCCTCTCTACAAGATACTTTATAAAGATATGAAGACGTGGTCTGATACAACTACACCATCTGGTATTTTAGGTAAATTGTAACAATTATAAATTTAAAGAACAGACTAATATAACTTTAATTATGTCCTCATTCATTGTGTTCATATTTTTTATTTGCTCTGTATTTATTTATCTATTTCAACATTAAACTTTTTAAGCTTATAGGTCAATTTTTTCATTCTAAAATTAAGGTTTATTTAAAAGACCTGACCAAGGGGAAGTCATTAGTGAGCCTGAAGTTACGCTGCCCATCACCTTAATTTTTGACAGCCTTAAAGATCCTGGAAATGCTGGGACTCTCATCCGCACAGCTGCTGCAATAGGGTGCCAACGGGTTATCACCACTAAAGGTATACAGCAATTTATAGATCACAAATATTTATCCAATACCATATCTTGCATCTTTTTCCTTTTTTTTTCTTCTGAAACAGTTCATAAACGTAAACATTATTAGCTCCCCTGACAGCTGCATCCTGTTATTCCTCATGGGTAGGCCTTACTGAGACTTGAAGTTTTATTTAATTAAAATGCCACTGTGTCCTATTCCCTTATTGCACCCCGTCTTTACCCTCGTTATATTTTCCGTGAGGTCTTGATAAAGAATTAGTATTTAACAATATTACATTTTTGGGGCAGAATTATGCATTAAAAAAAAAAGAAAGAAACATGGTCATGACTAATAGTCAGTTAATTATTGGCAAGCGGACACTGTCCCATTTTTGCATGTTTAAGTATTTTTAAATACATCTGCCAATTCCGCTCTTGTTTCTTCTAATGACATTTTTTTTCCACCGCAAAACAGGAAGTGTGAATGTTTGGGACACCAAAGTTCTAAGATCTGCAATGGGTGGTCACTTCAGTGTCCCCATATATTCTGGTATGAGCTGGTCAGAGGTCCACAACTACATAGACAAGGACACTCAAGTCTTTCTGGCTAATTCTCGACCTGCTCGTGTGCTCTCTCGTTCTTTTGACACAAAGTTGTCTCATGAAGACGTCAGGAGTCAAGGTAGGGCTGTTGACACAACACTTTGTCTTAAACTGTGGCCTTGAAACGATACTGACATAATTTTAAATTACTGGCAGCAATCAGCTTTACATTAGTTCGGGGAACAGGATGTTTCCCTCTCCCCCTCTCTCTCCCCTCTCTCTCCCCTTCCTCTCACCTCCCTCCCCTCCCTCTCTCTCTCCACCCCCTCTCTCTCTCCACTCCCTCTCTCCATCTCCCCCATCTCTCCCTCTCCCTTCTCGCTCCCATTCCCTCTCTCTCCCCCTCTTTCTCCCTCCCTCTCTCCATCTCCCCCTCTCCCCTCTCTCTCCCCTCCCTCTCTCTTTCTCCCTCCCTCTCTCTCCCCTCCCTCTCTCTTTCTCCATCTCCTCACCTCTCCCTCCCTCCCCACTTTGTTTGTTATCATCAGTTAATATAAACTATTCAGAGCTATATCAACAACCTGTTGGACATCATAGCCCAGTGGTCGGTAAACTCATTAGGTCAGTGGTCGGCAAACTCATTAGGCCAGTGGTCGGCAAACTCATAGACCAGTGGTAGGAAAACTCATTAGGCCAGTGGTCGGCAAACTCATAGTCCAGTGGTAGGAAAATTCATAAGGCCAGTGGTCGGCAAACTCATAGTCCAGTGGTAGGAAAACTCATTAGGCCAGTGTTCGGCAAACTCATTAGGCCAGTGGTCTACGAACTCATTAGGCCAGTGGTCGGCAAACTCATTAGGCCAGTGGTCGGCAAACTCATTAGGCCAGTGGTCGGCAAACTCATTAGGCCAGTGGTCGGCAAACTCATAGCCCAGTGGTCGGAAAACTCATAGCCCAGTGGTCGGAAAACTCATAGACCAGTGGTCGGAAAACTCATTGTTCAGTGGTCGGAAAACTCATTAGGCCAGTGGTCAGCAAACTCATTAGGCTAGTGGTCGGCTAACTCATAGTCCACTGTTCGGAAAACTCATAGCCCAGTGGTCGGAAAACTCATAGTTCAGTGGTCGGAAAACTCATTAGGCAAGTGGTCGGCAAACTCATTAGCCCAGTGGTCAGCAAACTCATTAGCTAGCAGGACGATTAAAACAATTTTGAGAGCCAAATTTCTTTTCAAGAACCAGTCAAGAACCATGTTTTCAGAGTCTAAACCGATTTGTGGCCGACTGGCTGAGCCGCACTCATGTGACCAAAGAGCTGGATGCACGCCGACCACTGTCGTAGGCGAAAGACATTGAAGTCATCCAGAATTCTTCATCTAACTCCACATTCCTAAAAGGAAGTTCATTAAAGATTTGACTGAAGACATTTTCAATTCATGCCCAAAAAAGATGTCTTTTAAAAAAAAAAAAAAAAAAAAAAAAAATATTTTTTAATAAAAGGAAGTTCATTAAAAAGTTGACGGAAAAAATTTTCAATTCATGCCCAAAAAAGATGTCTTTTAAAAAAAAAAAAAAAAAAAAAAAAATATTTTTTAAAGAGTTTCAAATTCTCATATTCATCCTAAAAAATCCCACCAACTTACAAATTGTAACATTTGGTTTTAAATGTGCTCCAGCTTGTATTATCACTTTTAAATAGTCAATTTTAATCTTAATAGTTTTTTGGGGGAGTGGGGGGGGGGGGTAATTTACTCCTAAATATATACAGTTAATAAATTTCAAGGTATGGTAATAACACTGTGTTGAGTAGGTTTAGCAAAATAAAATTCCCGGAAGTTTGCAAGATTTGGGATTCTTATTAAGCATGTTACCTAACGCATGTTCTGTCAATTAACCTAAGCTAAGTAGATGGGAAGTTCAAGCATTGCTGCAGCCATTGGTTGGCGGGTTTATTCCTGGTTAATCGTGGTAATTACATTACATAAATAATTGATCATGCAATTACATCACTGGTAATTACATTACATAAATAATGTATCATGCAATTACATCACTGGTAATTACATTACATAAATAATTTATCATGCAATTACATCACTGGTAATTACATTACATAAATAATTTATCATGCAATTACATCACTGGTAATTACATTACATAAATAATTTATCATGCAATTACATCACTGGTAATTACATTACATAAATAATTTATCATGCAATTACATTACATAAATAATTTATCATGCAATTACATTACATAAATAATTTATCATGCAATTACGTTACATAAATAATTTATCATGCAATTACATCACTGGTAATTACATTACATGTTTTATCTCCCATTTGTTTTTAAGAGACTGAGACAGAAGAGTCGGACAGTGAGAGTGACACCGACGTGGATGACATTGAACTTGAGAAAAGGAAGATTAGGCAAGAAGAGCATGCCGAGCATATGGTCTACTCCTTTCACAGAGTTCCCATGATGGTCTACGACTACAGTGAAATATTGATCAACCAGCCAAAGAGCAGTGACGGTGATGAGGGAGGCTCTCCCACTAGTGTTGCGCTGGTGGTGGGCGGAGAGACAGAGGGGCTGAGCGCCCTGGCCAAGCAGTTCGCCTACAATCACTATGGGCAATACGTGACCATACCGATGAGCATGCACGTCAATAGCTTGAACACTGGCATTGCAGGGAGCATCATTCTCTACGAACTTCGTAGGAAGCTGTTGATGTTGAGCGCAGAGAAGAAAGAACCCCGTTCACAGAATGTCTGCAGCTGAATTGCTTTTTGTTAATGTCTTTTAGTTTAAGTAAAGATGTTCTATTATCACACAAAAGTTTTTGGTTGTCTACGTAGTGCGTCGTTGCATGCAAGGTTAGTTTATGGTCATTTATTTTAATTTTCCCATACAACCTCCTCTCTTTCTCTTGAGTTGAAGTAAATCATCAAACATTGTGCATTTCACTTTCCTCGATTTTGATTCGTTCACATCTCTTGAGTCGTTTTTCCAGTCTTTTTTGAAAATGATCAGGACGTTTGGGTTTCCCTGTGATTGTCGCTAAAGGAAAAAAAACTGTGGCTGCTGGACCAGCACCCCTCCCACGAACTCTAATTTCATCCCCGCACCAGAGTTCATAACCACCTGTGGTTTACTAAATGTGTGTGTGTCAGTGGTTTGAAACTGCTTGATACAACAAAAATATGTTAGAGTGAGCACTGACTTAATTACAGTGCAGGCTTCAACCAACTCATGCTAGAGTAAGCACTGCCTTATTAAAAGTGCAGCAATTCACTCATCGGTGATAGAAAATATTTCAATTTTAGTTTTGAGCTGTAGGCGAATGTTTAATTAATTTCCTCACTTTTAATTTAAACCAGTTTCAATTCGTTCTGTTTCTCCACTTCAATTTGATTTCCTTGAATTAAGCATTTCAGTTCTCATTACATGTATGCAGAGCAGTCACGTGACCTTCTGAGTCCCCTAACGCTTTATGTTTTCCAAAGTTGATAGTTTTAAATATTTTATTTCCATTTCACAACTTTCCGCCCCTTGAGTATCCAAGGCCGCCTGGCAGTCGCGGGTGTTGCATGACACCCGCCCGACGTTTCTTGGTGATTGGAGTTTCAGCACTCAGTGTCGAACCCCTTGGCCAGCTTTCGAGATCAAAGCGTGAGTCCGTGATTTCTACAATGTTTGGGATACTTTTCCTTTTGGCTAGACCAGTGGTCGGCAAACTCATTGGTCAAAAGAGACGAAAATAATCAAGCAGGACGAATTGTAAAAAAAGTTGAAAGCCAAATTTCTTTTCAAGAACCTGTCGAGAACCATTTTTTTCGGAGTCAAAACCGATATGTGGCGACTGGCCGAGCCGCACTCAGGGCGCTAAATAGCCGACCACTGGGCTGGATGCATGGGCCTCCTTTTTTAACCCCCTGGAGACGACTGGGCCGAGTATAAAAAAAAAAGACGATTGGCGGATCTATCTTGCCAGATTATTCAAGCCTTGAGATTGGCTGGTTGGTCTTCGTACCAGCTAATCAGATCGCTTCTTGCATATTACTGCACAAAACTAATAGCATTTTAACGGCAGTCTACTTTGATTGTTTACTAACTTTTGTTGTGTTCAGGAATGTTTAAAAATATTTTTTTTTGTGTATGTGCTGCAAGTAATATCGTAAAATGCCAAAATGTCTAGCAGTGCAGTGAAACTTAACAAACTGTCCTTAGTGAGTTTTGATATGAAGTGAATCTGACAGTACAACCAGGGAAGTAATGAGGACGATCAAAATGATGATGATGATGGTCATGTTGTGAACCCTTGGTTTAGTATCAAGGGGTCCTGAACTGGATAGAGATGACCCCTCTATTTTTTTTTTTTTTAAAGAAAATATAGGACCAATAAATATGCCTCGAGATATAAGAACCATATTTGAATAATGTCTGCTATTTTTACACTATCACTCAAATGTTTATGAGAGAGACCAACAGGTATGCAGACAACTTTCTCAGTAACACTCAGCACAAGGGAAGGTCCCTAGGTCATAAACGGGGACCTGTTACAGTGAGTGTCTGTAGCAACTGAAAAATGGGCAGGGGGGCGGGGACAGGAAAAGGAGTAGAACCATGTGCCAGAGGTGTCTGAAGGCCTCCATGTGCCAGAGGTGTCTGAAGGGCCTCCATGTTCCAGAGGTGTCTGAGGGCCTCCATGTGCCAGAGGTGTCTGAGGGCCTCCATGTGCCATAGGTGTCTGAGGGCCTCCATGGGCCAGAGGTGTCTGAAGGGCCTCCATGTGCCAGAGGTGCCTGAAGGGGCTCCATGTGCCAGAGGTGTCTGAAGGGCCTCCATGTGTCTGAGGGCCTCCATGTGTCTGAGGGCCTCCATGTGCCAGAGGTGTCTGAGGGCCTCCATGTGCCAGAGGTGTCTGAGGGCCTCCATGTGCCATAGGTTTCTGAGGGCCT